CCCCCCCCCCCCGCACGCGCAAGGGTTCTGACCAGCCTGGGCCGGCTTGACCCGGCATATTATTCCGTCGCGTCATTGTGTAGGGATGCGAGGTCAATTGTCAAACAACTACGGCACGATTTTACATTGAGTACCCCCCGCCCCCGCCCCCGCCCCCCTTGCAAGGTCAATGGTCTAACGACTACGACATGCACGGCTATAAGTACCCCCGCTCCCGCCCCCGGTAAATGGTCTACCAACGAAGACATGCAAATCATTAGTACCCGCTCTCCCCGCCCCTCGCAATGGTCTACCACAGACTTGCAAGTCATGAGCATCCCCCCGCCCCCCATGATCTACCGACTAAAGCTTGAATACGCCCCCCCCTCCCTCCCTTGCTGTTGCCAAAGGCACCGGCGACTGCGGTGGGGACGGCAGCTTGGAGGGCCGACAAGCTCGGACCAGCGGGGTCCGCCAAGTTCAAGGACTGGTGGGAGTTCGCCGGGATCGAGGGCACGCCGGAGGTATGGTGGGATGGATAGCGCGTTCAGGTCTTGGTTTGTTGCTCCGCGCAGCGGTGTCCACCCCTCTTGCGGTTTTCAGAAATTATACACACAGTCAAGGATTGACCATAACCGTTCGAGATATTACAACCACAGCAGTGCTTTTCGTGTCCCGCTGTCTGTACAACCGTGTGTTGGGCGTGTCATCGTTCTTTTTTTAGCGTTTCTTGGTAACAGATTTACTCTCCACTCCAACGTTTTTCCCGCCCGCCGCCTTGGGGTTATTTTTAGGATGCTGTACGCTGTACACTCAGGACCGAGGGGGCGTCGTGCACTATTTATAGATTTATGTAGATCTCCCTGCGTTTACTGCGTTCCCTGATCTACGAAGTTCCATGTCGACACTGTTCGTATTTTTCATTTTTGTTCAGGGATGTGTGATGAGCGCTTGCTCTGACGTGCGCTTCCATGATCTTGGAGGTAATAAACGCGTTTGGTGCGCATGTACACTCTCTTCCGGTGTACTGCGTCTATACCGTCACGCTTTTTTTTGTGTGTGTGTAAGACGTCATGTTTTGTGCGTCGCCATGCCTTGTTCCACAACGCGGTTTTGTAAACATGCTTCGATCCGCCATCCACCCACCCACCCAACAGCAATGTTGCCTTATTTTCCCCTTGAACTCCACTGTGCCGTTCTGTGCCGTGTTGCACCGTTCTGTGTTGTGCTTCGCTATGCTGTGCTATGCTATGCTATGCTATGCTATGCTATGCTATGCTAATGCTGCACCATGTTTTTGCGCTGCCCTGTATGCAGGAATCGGAGGCGGGAGAGCTTGTTGTGTCCAACACCTGCCGTGTGACGGCGTCCCAGGCTGAAGAGTTTCTTCGCCGCTGTTTGGACAAGTACAAGAGGGCACTGGTCGAGCCAGGAGAGGCAAGCCTGTCGCAGTTTTTTTTTTGTTTACTAATATAGCACAATGAATTCATCGATGTGCATAGATAAGGGTCTAGGGTTGGTCATGAATCAATTCATAGCGTTAGCGGAGCAGTATCATACCTGTGTTTTCCCCGAGCAGCATACAGCGATATCTCCCCCTCGCACTTTTGTAACAAAGGTAGACCCCGCAAAAACCAAACGAGGAACACGATAACCAGGGAATAGTCATATCCAACAACCAAGACAGACAATGGAGAAATGGCAAAGTACGCCACAGCTCGGCGTGATGTGAAAACAATCGTTTGATACGAGCGTTTGCAACAGAAACGGCTTTCGTTGAACGAGCGCAAGGGGTTTTGTACTGCTGCGTAGAAACGGGGCACGTCTTCCATGTTTTTTTTTTTCTTGTGTTACAAGTAACCCTACAGGAGTAGTGGGCATCAGCTGGGTGTGTCACCTCATTGTGTTCTGCTTTTTTTTTCTTAACGTGCGCAGTTCGTTGACTACTGGGTGTTTCTGTCATGTTACTACACGTTTGCGAAAGCGGGCGTGGGACATTTTACCTGCATGCATGTATAGCAAGGAGGCAGTTTTTGAATATTATTGTCACCCCCGTTGTTCTGATGTCGGTCCTTACATCTCTCGGTATAGTTTCTGGAAGCACCAGCTGGGGTCACACAGCCACACAGGAGTAACACTCTCCGTCCTCCATTCCGGTTGTGGCAATTCTTTTTGGCGACCTTGATAACCGTTCGTTTCTAACCGTTTGTTCATGACTATTATTCTCGTCCCTTTCTGTCTTTCCGTCCTGTGTCAGGCGGTTGGAGCAATCGGAGCACAGAGTATCTCGGAGCCGGGTACCCAGATGACCCTCAAGACTTTCCACTTCGCCGGCGTTGCCAGCATGAACGTAACGCTCGGGGTCCCCCGGTTGAAGGAGATCATCAACGCCTCCAAGGTGCGAAGGAAAAAACAACCAAGAGTAGACTTTCAGCCCACCCCTTTCAAGTGGGTTATATCTCGAACGGGAAGTGTCTTTCTTTTTGAGTGTATGTGAATTTGCTACGCTTGAAAAAATCGGTTGGGCATCGAGTGTGGCACAGCTGTGGCCTTTGCTGTGTTTGCAGAATTGCGACGCTGGCTAATGTTCAGCTGTAGCGGTGCCATGTTGTTGGTTGACCCACGGGGGTAGCAAGTGTGTGTTATTCGTGGTATATCCGTCACTGGTATGGTTTCTTGCTGTCGACCGTTTACCCGTCAACGTGATTCTCTGTTAGACTGTACACAGATTTGTAGCGAATGTCAAGAGCTTTGTTGAGCATAACACGCCCATTTGTTTGTGGGACGTTTGACGGTTGATTCCATTTGTGCCCGACTCGTTTTCCTCAGAACATCAGCACGCCGATCATCACGGCTAAGCTCGTGCAGGACGACAGCAGGACGTCGGCCAGGGTTGTCAAGGCCAAGATCGAAAAGACCACTCTTGGACAGGTTCGTTATTTAATTACGTTGGGAGATGAACGTATGTGACTGGAAGGCGTTCGGTTTTGGAGTATTAGCGTCAATGCGTTTATCGGAAGATAAAGAAGTGTTGGGACAAGGCGTGTTGGTTCTTGATAGCGTCATGACGTTTATCGAAAGAGGAACGAGTCTTCTGTATTCAGTGTCAGGCCAAGAACAAGCGTCGAAAGCGTTTTTTTCGTTGTCCTTGGCTAAGGCAGACGGATGCAGGGCCAAGACTGAGACGACGTTTCCCGACGCGTGTTCGGTTGGTTCATGAAGCGTTTCAAAGAGCGCTTCGGTGGGTTTCCACCTATCTACTCTTACGCACTAGTGTTTACTTGTGTTGGGGGACGGTCTTGTTTCGAATTTGTTTTTGCGGATACCGACTGTGGGAAGACCTGACCTCCATGCTTCAAGGGAGCGTAAACAGTCAGTGGCAAGCGGACAACAATATTATCCCCGCTCCCCGTTTACGCTTTCCCCCACTATGCTTGAACTGCTCCCTCGTGCAGGTGGCGGTGTACATGAAGGAGGTGTTCTCCGCTTCGGAGTGCTTTATCGCCATAAAGCTGGACATGCACGCCGTGCAAGACCTGCACCTGGACATCAACGTTCACACCGTGCGGCACTCGATCCTCAAGGGCAACTTCGGCGAGACAAGGCCGAGGGTGCTCAGGGACCTCAAGCCGCAGCACGTGGTCATCTCGGGCGGCGGTCATAAGGTACAGAGGTTGGTGGCAAAGTTACATCAGTAATCCATTATTCTTCATTTATCTATCTGTATTATATTTTTATATTTTTTAGTGGTCGGTCAATGAGTGGCGAGTGCCTTCGATGTACAGCTGTCTCAAGGTATATGAAGAGGCTTGGAGATGGCACCCCCCCTAGACGGATTCTCAAAGCTCGATTCCATCACAACCAAAGCTTGTACCAACTCAATAAATGGTGGTTCTAAAAAAAATCTCGTCGAGGGTTTTCCGCAAGCGAATGGGGCCCTTTCCGTACCCACTTGGGTGTGGGGCAATCGAGCTTTGAAAGTCTGTCTAGAAGCGGTGCCATCTCTTCGCCTCTTACGGAATACCACGGTACGGTATACATTACGGTACAGACAATCTAGGTCGTGGAGCAGTCGAGCTGTGAAAGTCTGTCTAGAAGCGGTGCCATCTCTTCGCCTCTTACGGAATACCACGGTACGGTATACATTACGGTACAGACAATCTAGGTCGTGGAGCAGTCGAGCTGTGAAAGTCTGTCTAGAAGCGGTGCCATCTCTTCGCCTCTTACGGAATACCACGGTACGGTATACATTACGGTACAGACAATCTAGGTCGTGGAGCAGTCGAGCTGTGAAAGTCTGTCTAGAAGCGGTGCCATCTCTTCGCCTCTTACGGAATACCACGGTACGGTATACATTACGGTACAGACAATCTAGGTCGTGGAGCAGTCGAGCTGTGAAAGTCTGTCTAGAAGCGGTGCCATCTCTTCGCCTCTTACGGAATACCACGGTACGGTATACATTACGGTACAGACAATCTAGGTCGTGGAGCAGTCGAGCTGTGAAAGTCTGTCTAGAAGCGGTGCCATCTCTTCGCCTCTTACGGAATACCACGGTACGGTATACATTACGGTACAGACAATCTAGGTCGTGGAGCAGTCGAGCTGTGAAAGTCTGTCTAGAAGCGGTGCCATCTCTTCGCCTCTTACGGAATACCACGGTACGGTATACATTACGGTACAGACAATCTAGGTCGTGGAGCAGTCGAGCTGTGAAAGTCTGTCTAGAAGCGGTGCCATCTCTTCGCCTCTTACGGAATACCACGGTACGGTATACATTACGGTACAGACAATCTAGGTCGTGGAGCAGTCGAGCTGTGAAAGTCTGTCTAGAAGCGGTGCCATCTCTTCGCCTCTTACGGAATACCACGGTACGGTATACATTACGGTACAGACAATCTAGGTCGTGGAGCAGTCGAGCTGTGAAAGTCTGTCTAGAAGCGGTGCCATCTCTTCGCCTCTTACGGAATACCACGGTACGGTATACATTACGGTACAGACAATCTAGGTCGTGGAGCAGTCGAGCTGTGAAAGTCTGTCTAGAAGCGGTGCCATCTCTTCGCCTCTTACGGAATACCACGGTACGGTATACATTACGGTACAGACAATCTAGGTCGTGGAGCAGTCGAGCTGTGAAAGTCTGTCTAGAAGCGGTGCCATCTCTTCGCCTCTTACGGAATACCACGGTACGGTATACATTACGGTACAGACAATCTAGGTCGTGGAGCAGTCGAGCTGTGAAAGTCTGTCTAGAAGCGGTGCCATCTCTTCGCCTCTTACGGAATACCACGGTACGGTATACATTACGGTACAGACAATCTAGGTCGTGGAGCAGTCGAGCTGTGAAAGTCTGTCTAGAAGCGGTGCCATCTCTTCGCCTCTTACGGAATACCACGGTACGGTATACATTACGGTACAGACAATCTAGGTCGTGGAGCAGTCGAGCTGTGAAAGTCTGTCTAGAAGCGGTGCCATCTCTTCGCCTCTTACGGAATACCACGGTACGGTATACATTACGGTACAGACAATCTAGGTCGTGGAGCAGTCGAGCTGTGAAAGTCTGTCTAGAAGCGGTGCCATCTCTTCGCCTCTTACGGAATACCACGGTACGGTATACATTACGGTACAGACAATCTAGGTCGTGGAGCAGTCGAGCTGTGAAAGTCTGTCTAGAAGCGGTGCCATCTCTTCGCCTCTTACGGAATACCACGGTACGGTATACATTACGGTACAGACAATCTAGGTCGTGGAGCAGTCGAGCTGTGAAAGTCTGTCTAGAAGCGGTGCCATCTCTTCGCCTCTTACGGAATACCACGGTACGGTATACATTACGGTACAGACAATCTAGGTCGTGGAGCAGTCGAGCTGTGAAAGTCTGTCTAGAAGCGGTGCCATCTCTTCGCCTCTTACGGAATACCACGGTACGGTATACATTACGGTACAGACAATCTAGGTCGTGGAGCAGTCGAGCTGTGAAAGTCTGTCTAGAAGCGGTGCCATCTCTTCGCCTCTTACGGAATACCACGGTACGGTATACATTACGGTACAGACAATCTAGGTCGTGGAGCAGTCGAGCTGTGAAAGTCTGTCTAGAAGCGGTGCCATCTCTTCGCCTCTTACGGAATACCACGGTACGGTATACATTACGGTACAGACAATCTAGGTCGTGGAGCAGTCGAGCTGTGAAAGTCTGTCTAGAAGCGGTGCCATCTCTTCGCCTCTTACGGAATACCACGGTACGGTATACATTACGGTACAGACAATCTAGGTCGTGGAGCAGTCGAGCTGTGAAAGTCTGTCTAGAAGCGGTGCCATCTCTTCGCCTCTTACGGAATACCACGGTACGGTATACAGTACGGTACAGACAATCTAGGTCGTGGAGCAATCGAGCTGTGAAAGTCTGTCTAGAAGCGGTGCCATCTCTCCGCCTACTACGGTAGTTGGCATTGTTGGTCAATGGGTGGCATTTTCGTTCGATGTACCCTGTAGAGACCCCCTCCGTCCCCATCATCATCATCATCATCATCATCATCATCGTGTCCTCGCTCCCCGCCCCCCACTAGATCAAGGTGATGCCGCCAGAGCTGTCCGGCGCCAAGAGCGCAAGGGCAGCGGAGACGGTGCGACCCAAGACCTTCTTTGTTCTCCAGGCCCTCAAGGCCGTGCTGCCCGGGGTGATCGTCCAAGGGATCCCCTCGGTCAACCGCGCCGTCATCAACGTGCAGGAGAACTCCTCCGGCGCTGCCTCAGGAGCCGCGCCCAAAGAAAGGTAGGTCGGTTTTTCGTAGGGGTCGAGAGAGGTAAGTCGGTGCTAGTTATGGGCTGGTTATCAGGGTGATACGAGCATGCGACTTTACGTTTTGCGCGGCGAGCCCGAAGCGAGGTAGGTCGGTATTTCGAAGGAGTTGGCTGATTCCCTGGATGACACATAGACACGGGATTCCATTGACGTTTTACGCCCGCAAGGCATTTTACAATGGGTAGTTTTTTCTCTACACGACCAGAAACGTTGTAGTCGAGATAGTATCAAGACTAGGACCCACTAACGGGTTCGGGGCTCGAACCTGCTTTTTTAGTACCCCAGAGATGCTCTACGTCTGTGTTCCGGTGTTCTTTATTATTGTGCTCTCGTGAGTTTGGAGACAGGTCCCGAAAAGAGCCAAGTTCGGTGAAGAGAAAATGACGTCGGGAGGGGATGGGGCTCTTGTCACCTCTTGCCGCTCATTGGATTGTTCTGTTGGAGTAGGGTTAGGGTCGGGGACTCCGCACGTTGGCATGTGGTTGTCTCACGGCGGATGAGTGAGATTTTGTTCAAGGGGAGGGAAACGATCTCGTACGGCCTACACGCATATGGTACTTCTAAAACGAACGAGACGTAAAAAGAAAACAAGTGTGTCTCCTTCGCCCATACCGTAATTGACATAAGATAACACGCCCCCTGGACCGATTTTCAAAGCTCGGTTTCTCCACGACGAAGAGGATGCATAGACGAAAGGGCATGTTTTCAGAAAGCTCTCGACCAGACGGCCTTAACGCCGCCGTTTTCGGCCCTGCGACTGCTGCTACTTTTGAAAAATCGAGCTTCGAAAATCGGTCCAGGGGGTGTGTGTCTTGTGTCATATATGGTGATTCTAAAACAAACGACACTCTGCGGAACGGATACGTTTGATTTGACTGGGACGGCGTGTTGTCTGGAACCTTGTTTCATCAGGTACCATTTGCTGGTGGAAGGGTACGGGCTTGCTGCTGTGATGGGAGCGCCCGGCATCGACGGTTCTAGAACCAGGTCGAACCACATCATTGAGGTGCGTGGATGGTGGGGTGGTTGAGTCAACTTGCTTGGTGTTCATTCTCACGTACAGTCGTGACTTGCGTAGCCGTTTGACCCCTGGGCACATCCGAATCACGCGCCGGGTGGTGTGTTTGTGGACTGCCTACGCAACGAAAAAATGAAAGGTTGAAGAGAGGGGGCACGCAAACCGTAATTCTAACCCTGACTCCAACTTACCCAATTCTACACTTAATCCAGCATGTTTGCTTACTTATAATTGCTTGCATAGACTTTTGGCGTTTGTCCGCTTCTGCTGACTTTTGTGCTAGTTCAAGTGATGGCGTTTCTGCAACTTCTCTTGGTTGTACTGGTGGTATTGCTAATGTTGCTTCAGAAGAGTCGTGTTTTCTGCCCCTTCTATTTCATGTTTGGCACAGCTTTCAGTGGTCGCTGTTAACCCCTACGCGGGGGAAGGCAGAGGCTCCACGTCATCAATGACCCGTCCGATGGCGTTGCCTTTCCGTAGCCGTGCAGCTGCAGCAAATGGCGCTGTCAGGCACACCAGTGTACAGCAGTAGTGGGCCCTGTATAGCACCGGTATGTGTTCAGAGATTTTATCGGCACTGCTGCACCATGTGCAGACATCAACATACCGGACACGGGCACAATTTAAAGCACAGAACGACTTGGTTTTCAGTGCGTGCGAGCCGAAAACACCGGCATTATACCGGCACCCGGCACTATTCGACAGGCACTATACAGGGCCCACTACTGTTCTCAGTTTTTTAGTAGCACGGTGGTTTGACGAGTAACAGGACAACAGCACCATGAAAAACACCTCGGGACACCTCTGGAGCTCTCAGTGGCAGTTGCACCTACACATCCGAATATCGTCCTAACCCTAGGAAACTAAAATTACTTCGAGTAGTAGTACAAAAACACACATGAACTCATTAAATGAAGGCCAAACACGTCTGTCAACTCATGCGCTGTCTCCACTCCGCAGGTGTTCCACACGCTGGGCGTGGAAGCGGCTCGGATCATCATTTCGGAGGAGATCACGTACATCATGAAGGCTTACGGTATCTCCATTGACCGACGGCATCTACTCCTGCTGGCAGACGTCATGACGTTCAAGGTAACGTTTTGCTTGAGAGTGTTGCTAGCTTGTTCTTGTCGCTTGTTCTATCTACTGCTTTGCCATATGCACGAAACTGTCGTGCTAGGATTTGTTTTACATCGACCCATGCCCTATTGTCATATACACGAATCTGTTGTGCTAGGAATTAATTTACATGAATCCATGCCCTATGCCTTTTCCCGAGCGATCCTGGAGACTGGGTTCGATGAACCAAGAGGCCTTTTTTTCAACCAAGAGAGGGGTCTATATCGTCGCTGTTGTTGGCGAAAGTAAACCGCAGTTTGCGAACCTACCTCTCTACCGCTTTTGCAGTGTATGTGGAGGGGTATACATTTCCGGGGGTTGCATGACTTGGGCGTTGAACGTGAGGTCACAGAAGGACAAAAATATCTTCCTACGACAAGGGCTGGGTAGGTAAATGTCAGCGAAGTCGAAGGCGTTTGTGTAGAAAGAAAGAAGGGTGTCGGCAACAACACAAGCCACAACACGAAACAGGTCGGAACTGCACAAACAGCAGTTAACCTTCCGGACCTCGCCTCCAATTTTTAATGGTTAGCAAACATACATCACGAGAGGGACTACCTCTCGTGTTGCTGTTGTAGATCACCTGGGCTCCTTCCTGTACAGCAGGAGTACTTTGCTTGCCGTCATCTCCCTTTCTCCTTGTGTGTTTGATCTTTCATCGTCCGTCAGGGTGAGGTGCTGGGCATCACGCGGTTCGGGGTGTCAAAGATGCGCGAGTCGGTGCTGATGCTGGCGTCCTTCGAGAAAACCACGGACCACCTCTTCGACGCCTCCGTTCACGGCAGACACGATGCCATCGTCGGTGTCAGCGAGGTAAGGACTGCCGCGGATTACTGCAGGACGTACATAGGCGGGGAACACAGGCTTTGGGGTCTGGCTTTGCCCTCAAGCTTAATTTGATGAGATATTTTTTTTGGCCTCCGGCCCACTGCTGCTTTTTCCCCAGGTTAGCGGAGCGTCATGCAGTGCTCCGTTTCTTGTTATGCTGTAAAAGCCGTTCTGGCCGCCATCCATACCCCCTCTTGCTTCCAAGTCCCAGGCTGCCGCTTAAATACGTGTAAACACGTACGTGCTGACAAGCAGAATAGCTGACTCTCAAGCCGGTATATTAACTCATTCTGTGGGCTCAAGAACAACGGGAAGGAAATGACACAGCAGGGCAATAGACTTTCCTCAAACCTTCACCCAGCCGGCGTTGTTTCACCGTGTCCAGCCAACGACAACCAAGCTAAATTATTTTTTTCCTGGCCGCGTACGCGTCTTCCTGGCAGTGCATCATCATGGGGATCCCGATCCCCTTGGGCACGGGACTGTTCAAGCTTCTCATGAACGAAGACAAGATCAAGCCTCCACCGACGCCTGAACTGCTGGTCGGATGATATGCCGAGAGACTAGTTAGTGCGGATAGTAATATCCTGTTTTATTGGTGTTCGGTGTGGGTGGGCCGGTACTCGCGTGTATGTCTCGTTCTTACTTGCTCTGCGGACTGAGTGTGTGGCGTTCCTTTGGTTGGTGAAGGTCTTGAGGGAGAGCCCTCCATTTGTTCCATCAACGGCAGTACGATTCGCGCCTCCGTTTCGACGGCCGCAAATCGATCGTTCTTTTTACATAAAGGTATTCAAGGCGGGAGGGCGAGAGAGAGAGATGTGTGGTGGTGTTTGGTTCCCGCAGTGTTTCATTCAGTGTCGCCCAACTCAGGTCAAGAGGTAGTAGGAGGTTTGGTGGTGGGAAATAGGGGGGATAACTATAACCTCTCGCTTTTGAATTCGACGGAGCTGGCACGCATAACTCATTCACCGTGGGTCATGCAAACGGCCTGCGTGGGCAACGTGGCAGGAACGAGAATTCGAGGCAGCCAGCCAAAGCAAGCGTGTGACGTCAGACTCGCTACAAAGAAACACCGCGTACGTGGATCGTTTGCGCTCAATTGGCGAGATATGGCTTTTCTCCCGGCTTGTCGCACGAAATGCTTCCGTTGTGTCAGATCGTCACACACAAGCCCTCCGCTGAGTGTTTCAGGTTCACGTAGCTGTTCTTTAGTCCGTTCGTTTCAGTGTGTTGACACAGGAGGGTGCTGTACACTGTTGTCCCATCTGGCCGCGACGGACAGTCCTAGCACTCAAATCCCTCCGCAGACAAAAAATGCCGAAAAAATGGTTTTCAGTCGTTGGCGGATGGGCTACAGTCCCTCCAACGAACCTGAGCTCCTTGCCAGGCAAAGGGTGACTTGGCTTCAGCATGAAAAGTGTCCCCAAAACACGTGGGACACTTTTCAAACTTAAGCCAAGTCAACAAATTTTTCCAGTACCAGGCGATGTTAAGTTTTGCGAACTGGGGGGCACGCGGGTTGGGAGACGTGTACAGCATATCACACAGCGTACCACCTCAGCCAAGCATGATAAGACCAAGGGTTCTCACGAGCGTTGCATACAGCGGAGCCTAGAGTGACTACAGTGCGGTATATAGGTCTTTGAGTGCTGTGTCCCGAAGTGTCCCCAAAGTGTCCCCATTTGGGCTTCCAGTACTAGGAGGGTTAAAGCTTTTCTGTGGTCTTTCGTCGTTCGTTTGCCTGTCCAGTGCCCCTATTCTTGGTGAGCCACATTCAAACAAGACCAACCCTACCGCGGAGGCAAAACAATGAAGCTCGTTAAATTTTACGGTTCATTGACTCCTGCGCTGCCGTTGTGCAGCGCACACAACAGGAATCGGCCACAGCCGGTAATTTTTCTATCCACTCCGTTAAAAATCACCCCGTGTACTGCTGCAGAGGTCACGCTCACTTCTGCAGTTGCGTAGAATTCAGACTACAACGCTTCAACAGCTACCTGGCTACAGATAAGGGCACGGCCATGATGCCGCGGAATAACGGTACGCTACATCACTCGTACAGCAGCTACACGGCGGGAAATATTTATTTACGGCTTGAACGCAGCTCAGACGTACGCCCGACAGGAAATTGCTTAAGGCGTCTTAATTGTCGCGACATTCAACCCAACCAAGAACGACGCCCAGTCCTACACCTCGACCCGAGGACTACCACAACGTACTACATCTACTATCTCGGGAAGGAGAGGCCCCGCACGTCGAAAAAGTATAGCGAGTCCAACCCTGCGTTCGCATATTGCTAACGTAAAGTGCTGTCGCAAAAACTGTTGTCGCAAACTCCTGCCTATACTCAATCAACCCTTACCCTCTCTCCCCCCCCAAGCTAAAGCCGTACACTTACCTCCGCGCCCCCACCCCCAACATCAACAAAAATCCGACAAGACGGCGGTTGTACGTCACCCCCAATGCCAGTTTGTTCGGCAAAGGGATCGCGGAGGTACCCGACAAGGTGTGGACAGCCGTAAGAATGCGAGGAAGGCAGGCAGAGCAGAGCGCAAAAGACGAAGGGGAGAGCGAGCGTGGTTTGGGGGGGGGGGGGGGGGGGGGGNNNGGGGGGGGGGGGGGGGCGGTGGGGAAAGTCAGTGCTCTGAGAGAAATTCGAATTATTTGCCCCTTTCGCTTCTTTTTTTTTTGAATGGTATCGATTGAAGAATCAAGCCCGTAACGATGACACGGAGAAAGGAAGAAGACAGTCGTCAGGTCCAGTTCGCAAGAAAAAGTCGTCCAGGGATATCGAACAAAAAGGCAGAGATACTGCACCAAGCCAGGTTGGAGTCACATCTTAATTGCGCCGCTTCTCTATTTTCATCCAGGAATTGGCAGGGCCTTGCGGAAAATGTCGGGGAAAGGAAAACAAGATCAAATCAAAGACACAACAAACAGCGAAGAGAAACGCTCGACAACAATCGGTGACCAAAGCCACCGTGGATAAACTGAATCGCCCTTCTCCGTCTTACCTAACCAGAGTCTGACGAGTCTGACTGACGCCTAGCACTGCAATTGGTGCTCTCTTCTGTTTTCCTCTACAAACTGCGCCTGCACTTTGACTGCCGAACGAAGTAGTGTAGGTGACGGCGGGCTGTGGTACGGACTGCTTTCGTTCTCGAAAATCGTAGTCTGTACGCTTCTCTCTCGATGGAAAGTCCGATGCTTGCATTTCTCCAGGTTCACAGCAGGAAACTCTCTCGCTCGTAAGGTGCAGACCCCCCCCCACCCCCGAAAGACGTCGACCCCCCACCCCTTCCCCACCAACAGATCCAAACCAATCAACGTGTTTCGCGTCGTATGAGCCGGTAGGGGGCGGAGTGGCAACGTGCTGGTGTGTCCATTCGTAGACGCTCTGTCTTAGGCACAGCAGCAAAAGTCTTCAACGGTGTAGAACACGCCCGTTCTGGAACCCCCCCCCCCCCCCCCCCCCCCCCCCCCCCCCCCCCCCCCCCCCCCCCCCCCCCCCCCCCCCCCCCCC